TAGACCTGGCCTCCGGAGTCCAGGCTTAAAACCTCCCCCGGCCCCCCAGCTGCCCCCGGAACGCTGATTTAGCGATCCGCACTCCGGGGGCAAGTTCGCTATTAGTATATAGGATATATATTTTTACTTCATTCATACTCCATCTTTTTCCCCAATGGGGAGCCAAAGCTGATTATCTTGTTTGCCTCGCCTCCATTCCATCCTAACAACAGCTCAGCGAGGCAGATTAGGGTGAGTGTGTGTGTGACTGGCCCAAGGCCACCCATCAAGCTCCCACAGCAGAACCTGGGTCTCCCACACTGAGAGCCGGTGTAGTGTAGTGGTTAAGAGTGGTGGGTTTGATTCCCCACTCCTCCTCCACATGAAGCCAGGTGGGTGACCTTGGGCCTGTCACAGTTCTCGAAAGAGCTCTCTCAGCCCCACCTACCTCACAGGGTGTCTGTTGTTGGGAGGGGGAGGGAAAGGTGATCGTAAGCCGCTCTGAGACTCCTTTGGGTAGTGAAAAGTGGGGTATAAAAACCTTCTTCACAGCTCCTAGTCCAGCACTCTAACCACTACTACACCACGCTGGCTTAATACTTAAGCCTTCGCACACTTGTCAGAAAGCTGAAAATAAGGAAGGAAACTGAAGGAAATAAAAAAGTAATGCATGTTTAAATATAAGGCAAGGCAATGTATAAGTGGGCTAGCATGCAATACTGCAACTTGGATCCCATGATCTCATTCCTTATGTACTTTTCTTCATCTGCTGCGGAGGCTGTTCTCTATTTTGAAGTGTGCTTCCTCGGCCATTGCAGTCACGTTCTACTTGAACAAGATCAATTTTTTTAAAGGGAGACCAAAGGGCCTACCATGAGAGAAATACACACCACAGCAGAAAATTGCCTCTGTGACAGACAAAGGCTATACCTACTTTAGACTGATTCTAGATTGATTCTCTGTATTACGTTTGAGTGGTGCATGACATAAGAATACATACAGCGAAGTTTCTGGAATGATTGTCATCTTTAATGACTCAGACTTACGTAACAGCCATTAAATGATTGATGTACTGTGAATAGTTCCACTGATGCAGTATGCTGAAACAAGGCTTACATATCCAGAATCATCGTGTGATTTTTGACCTTGACTTTTGACTTCTTTGATCCTTTTGGAATGATTTCCTGGGACTCCTCTGGATCCTTCTAGAGTGAGACACTAAAATAACATGGGATCCTTTTGGGAATGATTTCCTGGGATCCTTCTCTTGTTTGACTATTTCTTTATATTAGTTGTATTAATACGTTCTGTTATGTCATTCTATGTATCACATATTTTCATGACCTTTATTAATACATACCTATGTTAAGATATTTTGCATTCTGTTATAGTGTACTGTTGCTATTGTGTCTGCACACACACTGTAATCCTTCAAAAATGTGGTGGCTAGCAGAAATGAAGCTGAGGCATTAGCCATCAGGAGAAGGTACAGAGGACGTGGAGAGATAAAGGGCAACCTGGAGTCAGCAAGAAATGAACTTGCAGATCCTTCTTTGTGGAGTTACATAGTGGTTACTTATAACAGGGAGGGGAGGATAGAGCTGGCTACTAGGAAATTTAGAAGCCTCCCATTAAAGTCACCCGCCCCCCGGTCATAGGAAGCATTGCATCTATTTCTTCAGTGCCGAGATATAGGATAACAAATGGATAATGGATAATAAGCAAAGTCAAGGTTGAAGTAAGGCTACTCTCAATATATACTTACGAATATTTTCATCACGTAGCTGAAATGTGTTTGTAGACACTAGATCTGCAGATGAATTAAAGGCCTTTATCTCTATGAAAGTAGAGCCAAACGAGAGCAATGGCATCTGTGCTCTGTTATCTTGAGTTTCTACACATTTCAGGGAAGAGGAAGAGGAAGATCTGAAAAAATATGAACAGAAAATGAAATTAGTCATATTTCATGGAAGAAAGGAGCTTCCATAAAGTTCTTTGAAGTGTTTTTTTTTAAATCAAAAAGGGTTTTACAAACCAAAAAGCAGTTGAGTTATCAGCAGAGATGTTAACCAAACTTGTATTACTAGTGCACAGAAATACAGCTCTTAAGGTTCAGTGTATGATGATGACCATTAGAGATAGGCACAAACTGAACTATGAAACCAAATTCGTGATGAATCTTGCCCTGTTTGTATACCAAACCTTTTAAGGCAGCTCATGGGGTTTGTGGCCAGAACAAAAAGTAGGGATTTAAAGGGACTCCGCGTCCTTTTAAACCCCTGCTTTCTGGTCCAGCAGAAAGCCACAAAAACAGCTGAGCAGCTGGGAGGGCTTGCAGTTGCTCAGCTTTTTCGGGCTTTCTTATGCAGTCCCTTTAAAGTTTAAAGGGACTGCACATGAAAGCTGAAAAACAGGGAGCAGAATGTCCGGGGTCAGGGCTGGGTGCTGTTTCAACAGGGGATGCTCCAATCCATTGCCCGGCAACCCTGGGGAGTTTGGACACTCACCCACCTTCACCCCATCACCTGAGGATGCCCTTGACAACCAGACCTCCCAGCACAAACTCACCCAGGAGACCAGTGGTGGATGAGTGGGGATGAGTGGGGAATGAGAGGCCAGCAGTGATGAAGGGGTGGCCAGCTGAGGCAGTCAGCGGGGCTGCAGCGACAGTACAGCAACCCAGGGCAGGGGAATTGTCTCTGGCAGGGAAGGAGAACACTCCAGCCTAGGGGTCCATGTGGGTTGGGCACCTCCTGTGGCCGGCCTGCTTTTTGCTGCGCCTGGCTTTGCCAGTGCCAGAGAATATCCAACCAACATGGTCCCCAGGCTGGAGCAGCCTCCTTCCCTGCCAGTGCCAACTCCTCCACCCTGGGCTCCTGGGGTAGGCCCGGCCACTGTACTGCCACTGCGGCGTACAACCACAGCCCTGCTGCTGCTATGCAGCTCGCCACAGCCATCTCTTCCACCTTGCTACTGACCACCTCAACTGGCTGCTCCTTCTCTGTCGCTGGCCTCTTCCACTGGCTTCTTCTCTCCTGGCCTCCTGGGTGAGTTGGGGGTTTCCCCTAATTAAGTTGTCCCCAACCCTGGACAAACTGCTCCATTTTCTGGCTTTCTTGTGCAGTCCCTTTAAACTTTAAAAGGACTGCACAAGAAAGCCCAAAGTAGCTGAGTGGTTGGAAGCACTTCTGCCGCTCAGCTGTTTTTGCAGCTTTCTGAAAATTCAGTTTAAATGGACCGTGGTACCTTTAAACAAGGTTTGCTGAGCCCACAAATCACAAACCGGTTTGTCAGAGAGTGAACTGGTTCAGTTCATGGTTTGGCGACAAACCTAACTGCATTTTTTGTGGTCCATACCCATCCCTAGTGACCATTATTGTCACACGTTTTTCTCTGGGTCAGATTCTATAGCCACATGAAAGAACATTCTTCTCTCTTCCTTTCCATCCCCTCCAAGCTTCTAGTAACAATAGCTGTGGCTACAGCTGGCTTTGAAGTTCATCTGAGAAAGGTATTCTCAAAACAAGACACCAGCCATAAAATGAAGGTGGCAGCATTCAGAGAAGCTCCACTACAACCTGAAACGCTAGGCAGGTTCATATAGGAGAAATAGGTCTAATATGAACAGGCCAAGTTGGTAACACTGCCACCACCTCCACAGATCTCCAGAATGAGAAGTTCCCCTTCTGATTGACATGGTTATCTGAGCACCCCTCCACTGGCTAGATACCATTCAGTTCCTTAGTTTAACAAACCAGTGAGGACAACCGCTGGAGCACAAAAACTGGGACCAAATTGTGGGGGGTGGGCACCAACTAGAATACGCATAAGGACAGAAAGAATGTCTTGACCGCCCCACTGATCTGTTTAGCACAGTAGCTTTTAATTGTTGTCCTTAGAGATGTTATACACTTCATTTGCTATTTTCTGAGAACTTTAGCTACAGAATTGTTCAGGAGGGCATTTTTGTAAAACTTAATCAGGTTGTAGTGGATTACTCTGTTTATTGTATGTGTTCTCCCGTTTTTAATGTACTGTCTTCTGCTGGCCCTCGTTTCTGGTTTTGGTGTTGTGTGTTTATGCGTTATTATCAAATTATTATATACATTACATAAAAGGCTGTTTTAATGTCCAAACGTTTTCCTGACCCCAAAGTGGCGATCGGCAGTTCTGGAGGCCTCACTTTTAAAAGGATGTATACAGAATGGAGCGGGTGCAGAGGAAAGTGACGAGGATGATCAGGGGCCTGGAGACCAAGCCTTATGAGGAAAGGCTGAGGGACCTGGGAATGTTCAGTCTGCAGAAGAGACTGTGGGGGGACATGATTGCTCTCTTTTAAGTATTTGAAGGGCTGTCACTTAGAGGGCAGGGAGCCGTTTCTGTTGGCAGCAGAGGATAGGACTTGCAATAATGGATTTAAATTAAGGGCGGGAAGGTACCGGCTGGATCTTAAGAAAAACTTTTTTTTACAGTAAGAGTTGTGCAACAGTGGAATCAGCTACCTGGGGAGGTGGTGAGCTCCCCCTCACTGGCAATTTTAAGTAGCAGCTGGATAAACATTTGTCAGAGATGCTCTAGGCTGATCCTGCCTTGAGCAGGGGGTTGGACTAGATCGCCTGTATGGCCCCTTCCAGCTCTGTGATTCTGTGATTCTACCCTGGGCATATAAGAAAGGGCCATAAGAGCCGAGCACTGGCTCATGCCTTCCTTGTTTATGGTTGTGTCTTGACGCTTGGGTTTTTTTATTGCAATCTTTTCTAATTTTGTAATCTAAACTGACCCTCAGCAAGATGTAAGTAATGTAAATAAGTAAATAAACAAAGCCGTATAGCACTTTCCATAAACAAGTACATGAATAAATTATTTCCAATGATAACTCAGGCACAGAAAAGAGTGGATGCTGTGGAATGGACAATATTAAAACAATACTACAAAGAAGCAATGGGGCATCTTTCACAGGAAGTGCCAAGAAATCTCCAGTTATTACCTGTCAGAGTAACAGAATATGTAACTGAGTCCAAGGCTCATTGCCGTCCAGGAGCAGGTAACATTTTTTAAATCATGTGTGACGCACGACAACTTCTGAGGCTCATGTGAAGAATCTGGAATTGCAAAAGTAACATCGCTAAGCAACAACATAAAGCTTGCTTTGAAACCTGCCCCCTTCAAACCCATAAGAATATTAATAATCCCTTTGCCACCTCAATGAATTCTGGAAGTGGATTTGAAGTACACTGTGAAATACGAACTCTTCTATCTGTTTAGTGGCCTAGCCATAAATACTCAAATTTGACAGAAATGTTGTAGTTGTATCTGTGCCACACATTAAGCTAGCTTAATAGCGTATTTCATCATTTTAGGGAATCCTGGGAGAACAATTCCCAGTCTTCCCTAGGAAGAAGAAATAAGCTACTAAGCTACTTTGGGAGAAATCAATCATACTTCCCAGGATTCCTTGGGAGAGATTGCAAAAGGTAGACCAGCATAGAAAAAATGCAAACTGGGTTTAGAAGTTTGAGGCATATATATTTTTTCTGGTCTGGTTCCAATATGGGACAGAAGTTATGTGCCATTAATTTTAAACTTACACCCTCCTACCCCCATCTTGAAAATCCTGAAAAAGGAGGGGAAATTCACATGCCGGTTCAGGACACTGTGTGCTTGCCCCCCCAAATGAGAATTTTACCATGCAACTCTATGGAGGGTTACTCACTTCTAAACCCATTGACTTCAATGGCTTTAGAGTATCTCTGGATTGCATGGTTAACTGCCTATAAAACAGGGACATTTCCTTCTGTCTCTTGGTAATTTTACTCTTATTGGACCAGACACTCTCTTTTAGTCAAATCTGCCTCACATGGGTGACATTAAGAGGATAAAATGAAGGAATAGAGAATGAAGTTGTAAGTTACTTTGGGTCCCCACTGGGGAGGAAAGTGGGGTATAAATATCTAAATAAATAATGCTCACAAGGTAACAGTTTTAACAAACAAGCAAACCCCAAATAGAATCCTTTGCAGAAATTGAATCCAGTATTCCGAAATGAGAAAGTTTCTGAAAATGTTGTACAAGTTAGTTTGGTTGTATAGAATGAGCTACTCATATCAAGGGCCCAATTTACAGTTCATAAGTGAAATCCTAAGCAGAGAGTTCATAAGAACATAAGAGAAGCCAATGTTGGGTCAGGCCAATGGCCAATTTAGTCCAACACTCTGTCACACAGTGGCCAAAAATACCAGGTGCAAAAATGAGGTCCAGCAGTGGGGCCAGGACACTAGAAGCCCTCCCACTGTTGCCCCCCCCCAAGCACCAAGAATGCAGAGCATCCCTTGCCCCAGACTGAGAGTCCCTATCTATACCTTGTGGCTAATAGCCACCGATGGACCTCTGCTCCATATGCTTATCTAATTCCCTCTTGAAGCCGTCCATGCTTGTGGCCACCACCACCTTCTGTGGCAGTGAATTCCATGTGTTAATCACTCTTTGGGTGCATTCAGACGGGGCGTTTCAGCCGGCATAAACTGTACCGGTTGGAACCGGTGCAATTTATGCCGGCTGAAACGCGATCACATTTACCTCCTGTCTGCGGAGCCCATCGCTGTATGCCCGTTCACATGCAGTGGGCGTCGGCGTTTTCTTTTTTTAAAACTCAGTTTGAGCATGCGCATAGGCAGCCATCCACAGAATGGCCATCTTCACGCATGCACAAAACACCCCGTCTTACATTTAAAGTTTAAAGGTAAGGACTTACCTCTAATGTTTAAAAAACAAACTGGCCTCCCTGAGGTCTCGGAGCCCTCCAAAACCTTAAACTAAGGACCTTTTCTTTTCTTTTTTTAAACGAACGCTGGGGCGAAGCTTCGCCCAAGTGCATATCGACGACCTAACAAAAAAAATGACAGACGAAAATCGGAAACCTCGGGCTTCCGAACCGAAGTGGCTCTACAACGTTGGAGAGCGATCAGACAGGGGTAAAGCGATTACAACCGTTGCACTCAGGATACCACCACTTGGGGACCTAGTGGCAGAATACAACGGTGTAAAGCTCTTTGCAATGGTTAGGGACGGAAGGCAGATGTTCGCCATGTGAACGCCGGTAAGTACACCGATTCCAACCGGCACCTATACCGTTGCAAATGCCCCGTCTGAACGCACCCTTTGGGTGACAAAGTACTTCCTTTTATCTGTTCTAACCCGACCGCTCAGCAATTTTAAGTTCCATCATTTTAAGTCAAATAACTTCAATGGACTTAGCAAGGTGCGACTCTGTTTGCCCTGACCTGGACAGCCCAGGCTAGGCCGATCTCATGAGATCCTGGAAGTTAAGCAGGGTCGGTCCTGCTTAGTACTTGGATGGCAGACCACCAAGGAAGCCCAGAGTCACAACACAGAGGAGGCAAGGGCAAACCACCTCTGAACATCTCTTGCCTTGAAAACCCTATGGCGTTGGTATCAGTCAGCTGTGACTTGATGGCAAAAAAAGCCCAGAACACCCTTTGTTTAGGACAGCACTGGCAAAAAGATTCAGTCCAAAAGTCACTGAATGGATTCAATCACGGCTTGCCTCAAAGCAATGGTGTTACCTGCAAAACCAAGGGAATTCACCAGCACAGTGGTATAGGACTTTGTTGCAACTCTGGCAACTGCTCTTTACAGTAGCTGTGGTGCAGTGGAAGTGTGTGTGTGTGTCTTACTAATTAAATGAATGGGCTCAAAAGCAAGGCTTATCTGTCCAATATTTCTACATTGGCAGGATAGGAGCACATCAGCTCAGCCTCACAAATACGAACACGACAGAATCTTGCCTTAGATCTGGGTTCAGAATCTTCTATTAAAAGACCTGCCAGACTTTGACAGATTTTAGGGATACAGAGAAAATCAGGACTATTCAAGCTCTATCCAGCACTGATATGCCAGGCTTAGAAAACCCCTCATCTTGCTACATGACAGAAGAAACCAAAAAACCACTGAACCACAAACCAACATTAAAAAAGTGTTAATACATAGGAAGTGCTTTACGGTCTGTTTCATGTGGGCTGTTATCCGACTAAAGGGTGTCAGTTTCGTTTTTAAGCACAGCCTAAACTATTCAAAATTAGCCAGCAACAACGGCACTGTGCACAAGTTATAGTGGATCCATGCACAACCCATGCACAGCACGCACATGATTTTTCCAATGTGAGTTGAATAATGTTTACATTACATTCAACATCAGTGTGACTGAACATGATTTACATCCAAAGTTTTTCCAGGGACTTGGCTCCAGTTTACCCTTTTAAGTGAATGGACACCATTTCATTTGTTATGTTTTACCACTTGTTTTACTACTTATAGGGAAAAGCGAGCAACACACACTATCCTCCCACTGTGCCTGAGTGCCATGTCACCTGAAAGGGGCCATGAGCATATTTTCCATTCTCTATATGCACACTCTCTCCATACATGCAGTTGCCAGGATTCTAGTACATGTGACTGTAATGACTTGAAAGGGCTTTAACTAGGCTTGTGGGGTGCCCAGTAATGGCAGGCAAACTCCTGGCTCTTACAGCCACTGCCTGCCAATGCTCAGCTGGTCGACAGATATAAGCAGGATGGAAAGAAAATAAGGCCACACTGATAGGTAAGAGGAAAATAAAGAACAAGGTACAAGAAAGAGCAGTCTAATTTGACCATTTAGATCCCAACGCAATTCGCGATAAGCTTCGTCAGGAGATCTTCAGCAGAAACTTCTCTGGCTTCCATCCTCGACAAATGGATGGCAGGTGGAAGCAGGCCAGTCAGCCAAAGGGGGTGGGCAGCAATCATCATCACTGCCCTATGATGTCACTTCTGCTGTGATCTGTTAGCGCTGGCATGACACAAGGGCGACGCTCTAGCATTTGCCCCAAACTCTATGGTTTCCATAGAGGTTCTGGGTTAGTGCCACCGCTTCATCCCGGCACCACACCAGCATTTCTAAGTCACGCTGGAAGTGATGTCATCATGTAGCTATGAAGATTGCGGCTCCCCCACACTGCAGTAAGTACCCACCTCCCACCCATCTGTCACCAGTTTCCAGGAACAAAAAGAAAGGAGGGAGGAAGAAAAAAAGGGAGAAGAAAAGAAAAAAGGGGGGGGGGGTAGGGAAAAAAAGAAAACTCAACCCAAAAAGCTGCTATGAATCCACAAGGGTTAAGCTGACACTACATATAATAAACATACAAAATTTATTAAGGTGTACACATTTTAAAAAGCTTAAAACTCATTTAAAATATTCACAATCAGACCTAAAAAACTTCTCAACATTCATACATAGATGGGTTAGTGCTGTGCAACTGAACCAAACGCGTTTCGGCCCCAAAGGGCCTTCCTCAGTGGTCACAATCCAAAATACAAAGTTGACATACAGTCCAAAAAATATTTACATAAGATGTTAAATATATATGCAGTATAAGGCCAGATGTTATGTCCTTATATATTTATATGTATATTAATTTATATGTATATTGTTGTTCTATAGGATAGGCCTCAGGTATGGCCAATTAAAGTCCACTAATAATTCCAAATCTAAAAGGGAATGAAATAATTACATGAAATTGTATACTTCCAAAAGGAAATTCTTTTTTTATTTTTTGAAAATCTGAATTGGCCTACTAACCTGGTAGCATAAACTTGCGTGAGTTGACTGTATGTCACTCCATCCTGTACAAATTCTGGTGTGGCTACCAGGTTAGTAGGCCAATTCAGATTTTCTTTTGGTAATTATTATCTAGGACATAACATCTGGCCTTATACTGCATATATATTTAACATCTTATGTAAATATTTTTTGGACTGTATGTCAACTTTGTATTTTGGATTGTGACCACTGAGGAAGGCCCTTTGGGGCCGAAACGCGTTTGGTTCAGTTGCACAGCACTAACCCATCTATGTATGAATGTTGAGAAGTTTTTTAGGTCTGATTGTGAATATTTTAAATGAGTTTTAAGCTTTTTAAAATGTGTACACCTTAATAAATTTTGTATGTTTATTATATGTAGTGTCAGCTTAACCCTTGTGGATTCATACCAGTTGCCAGGCCATGCCCTAGCTTTAACACCGGCAGGATATAAGCGCGTTCCCC